AGCTTCTCAACGAGGCTAAGAACAGCGAGGAGAAGGCCAAGAAGGCCATGGTCGACGCCGCCCGTCTCGCCGACGAGCTGCGCGCCGAGCAGGACCACGCTCAGACGCAGGAGAAGCTGCGCAAGGCGCTGGAGACCCAGATCAAGGAACTGCAGGTCCGACTGGACGAGGCCGAGGCGAACGCGCTCAAGGGCGGCAAGAAGGCCATCCAGAAGCTGGAGCAGCGCGTGCGCGAGCTGGAGAACGAACTGGACGGCGAGCAGCGAAGGCACGCCGACGCCCAGAAGAACCTGCGCAAGAGCGAGCGCCGCATCAAGGAGCTCAGCTTCCAGGCCGAGGAGGACCGCAAGAACCACGAGCGCATGCAGGACCTGGTTGACAAGCTGCAGCAGAAGATCAAGACCTACAAGAGGCAGATCGAGGAGGCCGTGAGTACACACTTCCATTGCGAGAACAACTCCCCCGGGATGACTTGAATGTAGTGAGGCTAGAATTCAACAAATTATTTCCAATTCATTAGCTTTGACGTACACAAATCAGAAGTAACTGACCAATCTGTTATTAAGAACAATACTTAAAGAAGCGAAGAACGGTTTTTCAAAGAAATATTAATATAAAGATTGATTGTTATTCCTATTGGGCGAAATATAAATTAGAATTCACAGCGTATCTGCATAACAGCACAAGAGAAAGTAAACTCCTACTCCATTGATACTCATTTGTCTACTAGAAAGTGGGAGGGAGAGAGATAGAGGGAATGAATAAGAAATATAATATAAAGAATTGGAAAATAACATAAAATCTTTGCAAGAATAGGAATGCTATTTGGAAAGGAAATTTAATATTTCACCCGTTATGCGTTATATACGTTAGCTATTACAAACGAGAACTTTCATAATCTTGTTCCATTCTCGATTTCTCCGGAGAACTTTCGGTCCTTTCTTTGCGGCGGCCACGCGCCAACACCTCCAGCTTTGCTTGCGCCGGCGAGTGAGTGACGCGACGCGACGCGCGTGTGCCCGCAGGAGGAAATCGCCGCCCTCAACCTGGCGAAGTTCCGCAAGGCGCAGCAGGAGCTCGAGGAGGCGGAAGAGCGCGCGGACCTCGCGGACCAGGCCATCGCCAAGTACCGCGCCAAGGGACGAGGTGGCT